AGGGGACTGTCTGTGTGGAGTCTGCATGTTCTCCCTGTGTTCACGTGGGTTTTCTCCTGGTGCTGCAATGTCCCCTTTTAGTCCAAAAACATGCTGGTTGGTTAATCAGCTCTGGAGCTGTGGATTAAGTGGTAGAAAACAGGCGAATGGCTAAGCAGGCCAGCTAGAGGAAGAGAACTATGACTTCAGGTTAGTTAATTATAGGAATTGACATTCGGCGAGTGCTGCTACATATTTTTGTCCTTAAAAAAAATACATGAATTGAATAAATAGGATAGTGGTAGAAGATTATTTAATGTTACTTGTCGGACAGAAGGGCTTTTCACTTATAGTTAAATGCAGGCTTCCAAACGTCTCTCTCTCTTTTTTGCAAGTATTAATTGACCTTCGTAGAGTTTTTCATGCAAAGACTTGAATTCCTGCTTTACTGTGAAAGTCTGATTCCACATGAATCCACAGAAGAGCAGGGAGCCAAGGGAGCTATGAGCTCAGTCCCCCTCCACTTAGACCATAGTGTGTTTGTGTTAGTGGTGCCGTGTCTTTTGCCTGACACTCGCTGACCGCACTGGTCTCATGAGTCAAATATGAAAATCGTGTTGCACACAAAGGATATGAAACTGTGATGCCCCAAACAGCACATTAAAAATCTGTCTGCATGCATATGCACACTCATTGACAGCAAAAAATTGAGAAATAACGTACACCTGTTTTTTGAAAGCACAAAGCAAAACAACGTTTACCCAGTCTAAATCAACACTAGCCCTAATTTAAAAAACAAGTGGCAGTGTCATCATCTGTTGATTCTTTTATTAGTTTTACACATGACCTGCAGAGCTAGCCTTAGCAGCCAATAGGAAAATTGCACTCTAAGCATGATTAAAATCTCTGCATATTTTTGCATCTTTCATTACAGCACAGTAGGACGGTATCATAGTAACTTCCAACAGAAATAACAACACTTACCCAAGAATCAAGCGTATTGAAAGGTTTATGGAGTTTATTAAGGTTTAGTCACAATAAAGTTTCGGCTGAACCTGTGTGGGTGAGGGCTGACCTCCTGGCCAGAGAATGAGGAGGCTGGGACCCCCATACAGAGTGAGGGGTGACCCAGGGGCAGCTGCAGAGGGGGAGATGGGGGGGAAGAGGGAGGCAGGAGACCTTGTGTGTGAGAGAAGGAGAGAAGGGGGTCACATACAGTATTTATAGTGTTTTAGGAAAGGAAATGACATTAGGATTGATTACAAATTACTGACAGCTGAGGCTGATTGAACTTGGCTGTTGGAATACCTCCCGAACTTTCATTATAAACTCCATTAAATAACTGTCGAGAAAGGTTGTTTACATTATTTACTTTTATTGCAGAATCCACTCCTGACTGTTTAACGCAATTCAGTTTCTTGTAGCATTCAATAAACAAGCTATGATGAGTTTGAATGGAGTTGCCTCATTCAGTTTTCCTTGAAGAACGTTTTTCTTAGAAAGAACGTCATTCCATTAGAACTATGGTGCTTGTCCCTGATTTTTCCAGGAAACACCAAGTAGCCTAATTGTAGCACGCACGATCCGATTTTTGGACCTTCCAGAATTCTTAATTTTCTATCTGCAGGAATGTAGACATTTCCAGGAAGTCATCAAGTCTGGTTCTGGAAGTCACCTTTCCACAGATAACAAGAAAGCTTAGGGTCACTGAAAAAAACAATCTTAGGAGTTTACTGTTGCTGATATTATCAAGACTGTCACTACAATGACTTTGGAAGTGATGAACAAAAATAAACTTAAGAGAGCCAAAAAAAAAATAAACAGAACAGTCCTTCTCTGTCCAGGAAGATTTGATTTGTTTTTTTGTACAATCTCAGTGAAGTGAGAAAGATTGTGATGGTTATGCAATGCAGAACTTCTTAGGAAAGTGCATTCTTTGGAAAGAAGTGACAATGAACATGCATTTGTGTGTTTTTTATACTGTAGTGTTTTCAAGGAAGGGTTTACATCTCAATGAGGTTAATGTAAGCCATGTCTGGATTGTCATATCAGTTAACTTCAAGATAACCTTTGGAAGAAAACTAAAACACAAACCAGTGGACAAGAACATTGAATTCTGAGAGAGGGAGGCACTATACACTAGGTAACCGGAGCAATAATTCACATTGTTGGATACGCTGTTAAAGTAGAAACAATTATTATTGTGCTGCAAATGGAAGTGGCACAGAGCAGGGATTCAATTGTGTTTGTTAAAAAAGTCATTGAAACATTTTGCCATATGCTTTATGTTAAGGAAGCAATCCTGTGTTGGTCCAATAGGGCTTTACTGTAATCTCTTTTTTCGGGATTAAAAGGACACTATATATCCTTTAAGGAAACAGTGCAGCCCCCTTGAAAAGAAGAGATGATAGCGCAATTACCTTTCATCTGTTAATCTAGCAGTGCCAGTCTCTCTTCTAGTCCCTCTAGCAGGCATGAAGAGGACGGACCCCAGCCTATATGTAAAGCCCACAACTTGTCAGCAGGTCACATTCTGAAATGACAGTCAGATTCTGTTTTTCTTGCTCTGGCCCCTAATCCCTGCTCATCGCCTTCATGGGACTTGCAAGCAGGCACCAAGCAAGAGGAGAAAACCAGCGAAGTGAAGAGGTGACTTTCTGGCTCATCCTTCTGCACAGAGACGGAAATGAAGGAGCGTGTGGGAAAAGAGTACTTAGCACCAGAGCTGAATTTAGCTGAATGTCACCCCTGTAGAGTAATGAGAGAAACTAGACTCACCAGCAGAGAGCACGGCAATTTAAATAGGCAAATAAGATTATAATAGAGGACACCGAGACTGCCGGGTGTCTCCCAGTCTTTCTCCTTTCTGGACAGCGTAATGTTTAAAAATAAATGATGAAATGTGCCACCCCTGGAATGGAAGCTGAGCTACGCACCGCAAGTGGTAAAAAAAGGCAGAAGTTCTTTTGCCAGACCGAGCCGACGTGGAGATTTGAAGTGACCCAGGTAATATCTCAAGGCCTGTTAATGTGTGTGGGCTTGTTCTGCACTCTCCTCATTTCAAAAGGTGTCATTCCAGTGTTGCAGGAGCAGTTCATTATTGTCTCATTAAACGGTAATGGTTGTGTGTCTTCAATGATTGTCCTTCATTTCTTTCTCAGTGTAATTGTGCAATCATTAGCTCTGGGAGATAGAGTATAAATAAAGCAATGTTGGGCTTTTCGTTTTCTTTAAATGGGGATTAGCTTCACTGAAACAAATAGATTCCCCAAATATTCATGGTGTGTTAAATCTAATTTATGACCGTTTTTTGATACTGTAATTCTTTTTACAATCGCCAAATTGACCTTCTCTAGGTATAGAAAATTGTAAGTCAGACGCCGTAATCAGACGTCCGAACCCCAGCTGCAGGTGAAATTGTATTTCACAAATTTAAGGAAAAGGTATTTGTATTGGGGTATTTTTTTTTCCCCCGAATTGGAATTATCACAGGCAGCCCCAGAGTACTGCAGTGGTTCATGGATGTGATTGTGGTTTAACTGGATCAGAGTTTTGAGGACAAGTCCTATTGATTTTCTTTACTGAAACAGGAAATAGCCAAATAAAAAAAGAGCGTCAGTCACCCGGCAAGAAGAAAGCTCAGAGGAGTAACTAGCAATTGGATTCTAATGAGTTACACGGCCTCCATTTCTGTGGAGTGTCTTGTGCGTGACATTTGCAGCCTTGTTAAACTGTCAGGCACAGCCTTTCTTTCCCTCTAATGCTGTGCCCTGTGATAGTCGTTAAGAAAAAGAAAAGAATTCATGTATTAAAAGATGTGCTTAAGTTACACTGGGACATATTTGACTTTCTGTGGGTTTTTATTTCAGTGAGGAAGTAGATGGACAACTTAAGTAGTTTGTTTTCTCTAGCAGCGGGTTAAAGATAGAGAACTCCTGGCCTGAAGTGCTGTAAAATGTTGCTCACGGAAACATGGTATAATGTAGTAAAGCACAGTGAATGGCTTGTATATAGAATATGTGTGGTTCCAGTTTAAAACATTGGAAGAGCAGGAAAAATCACTAGGGTGAATGTGTTAGTGGCCCGAATTTGATCAAGGAGGGATCTAGTCATGAAAACTGGCCTATAACCATATCCCCAGGTGTTGATGGGGAGTTGCTGAAGCCTGATGACTCTTGCATGTGGAGTTCTAAATGGACGTTCTGTAGAAGGTCAGACCCCAGTCTCACCCACCTCAGCTTCCCTGCATGCAAGGACCTCACCTCCAGAGTGCCCACTCTCCGATCTTCTCTCGCACCCCATCCTCACCCTTACAGCAGTCCCCTTGCGCTTTCCTTGCCAAAAAGAGGGGTCTGTCAGCTTTGTCCCTACAGTTCCGCCAATTAACCAGCTAATCCCTATCATGCCTCTATTGCGCATTAAATAAGGTTTGGTGAAACCGCTGAAACAGGACTGTGTCCTTGGAATTAAATAAAAAACACCTTGCAGAGAATCCAGGCTGGCTGGGTTGTAGAAGTTATTTTCTCTCTTTCTTTTTTAGGAGAATTTGCTGTTTATCCAAAACGTCAAGCTGAGCTCTTTAAGTGGAAAAGAAAATGTTGCACCAGAGCCCACTAGTTCAAAACGTTTCTGGGAATCTCATCTGCGCTCTCCTCAGTTTGTGATTTAGGAATTTGGCTGTGTTTGGAAAGGATGAATTTACAGTCCTGTTCCCATAGGAACTTAGTGGGTAATTCATCAGACGGCTCTGCTTGTAATCTTATACTGTACATGTTACCATTCAAGTGTGCTTGCGGAGAGTAGCATTGTTTTTCTGCTGAGACTGAATCACTGTGCTCACCATGTCATTTAAAAACAGGTCTTAATACAAGAAAGCAAATCCTTTCGTGTAGCAGAATTCCACCGCTATCAAAATATAAATGTGTCTAATTGATGGGAATTGGAGCAAACAACTCCCAGAACTGCTTAAAAAGTAGCGGAAAACAGCTTGGTTTGCTAAGACCTGCTGTTCTTGTGCAGACAACCTGTTTCAGTAAGTCTCCAGAATTATTTGCAAACCGTGAGCTGTGAAATGTTTCGAGTGTGAAGCCTTCTCTCGATTTGGCAGAGGTGGATGAGTAAGCTCTAGGTTTTAAGGGGATTCTTTTTAAAAAGAATGTACATGCTGTACTGGGTGCACCAAAAAAAAAAAAGCACAGGCATGCCTTTTCATTTACTCATATCATTCATATGACAGGACAGAGTAAAAGAGGCAGCTTCAGAACTTCTTTAATTCATTGCCGTTCATTTGGCTTCATTTGAAAAAAATCCAGTCGCCACATCACAAATACAGAAGAAGTCTTGTGGTATAAGCTGTGTTGCTTGCTGGCACTACTTGCTGGCACACAGGTGCTGCTGAAGCTGGCACAGCCCTCTTCATAGTATTGTCTTTCTTATCATTTGCAAATTGGCAGCGGCCTGTTAAAGTGCACCTTTAGAGAACCTGCAGGGAAGGACGGGGGATTAGGATGTGCTGGGATATCAAAGTGGGAATTACATTTTCAGGTTTTCTAAAAGCCTAACCCTTGTGCCCGATGACCCTATGACCCTTCCTTTAAGGGATTAGGTAAGGTTAAGTACAGCTTATTTATGTGTAATGGGGGGGGGAATGCGAAGTGTACGTTCTGTGTTCACCCAGTGCATGGTCATGCTCTGGGGGAGGAGATGCAACTATAATATTAGCAAAGACTTGCAGACCACAGCCCTTTTAGGATATTTGCTTTTTGGCTAAATCAGTGCTGCTTTAAGTTGCAAACCCAAAGGTGCACTCTTCCCAGAAATCCAAAGGGCATTTTTTGTTATTGTTGATGTTTCAGACAATGCCTTTAAGCTGATTAGCCACAGTCCCTGGTGGCGGCCTGATCCCTGTGAGTTGAGTTGAGTTTGTTGGTGTCTGAAGTGGACATAAGGGCTTCGCGAGGACTTTCTTGAGAATTTTACTTTCCAAAAACAACACCTTTTTGCCTCGGGTCATTGTGGAAGAGGTAACTAATTTGAACTCTCAGTCCTGCTAGAGCGCTATCTGTTTAGCTACAGGGGTCAGGGGCGGAGGCGTTGGAACTTATTTAAAGGTATTTCTCTTGAATTGTTTGGAGCAGAAATCTTTTAGCCTGACAGCGGCCACCTAGCGAAGGAGGTGAATGCGAAGGGAGTGAGGAACACAGTAGTCCTGATGTGATTGTGGCCACAGGCACCGTTTTGACAGACTGTCGATGACCCTTCTGATAGCTCGACGAAAAAGTCTTTGAAATCAAAATCTGCAGGGCTTTTTTTTTACGTGAGCCTTTGAAATTTCCGTAAGCGACCGAAAGCCTGACATTTCACACACTTTTCTTTGGTGAAAAAGTATGATTGGTGTTGCTCCTGTCCGCTGATACTCTGCTGAAGCTCATTGCAGTTGAGATTGCATTTTAATTTTGTTTGAGATTATTTGCCAGGAACTCTGTATAGATACAATGTGTGCATTTCAGGGGCGCTTGAATTCTTTTGTGTCAAAGCAGAGAGTTAGGAAACTTTACACAGTTCATTCCTCTACAAGGCAAACCCATGGGGAAGTGCTGTGTGCATTTCACTGCAAAGGACAAGGTGTGCCTCTGAGAAAAATATCTCCGGTGAAATAGTTCAAATATTTTAACCCCGTTTAATCCCCCTCGGTTTCTCAACAACGAAGGAACCACACTTTCCGGATATTTTAAGACGCAGAGCTAAAGATGCCTTTAGCTTGTAATGTACTGAAGGAAGAATCATAATATATTGTTGTTTGCTCAGCAAACGCCCAGATTCCACCTCCGTCTTTTGACAACAGAGTTAACATGACACTTTTGCTAGAAATTAAATCTCCTTTCCACACCACAAGCATCTATACTATTGGATGCCTGAGACCTAGGGGATCGTTGTTTATTCTGGATTTTGGTTTGCAGAAGAAGCCATCTGCCTGGCTCAGTCCATGAACCCTCAGGGCTCCTGCTCAGTTAAGTAAGTGAGGGCTGGCCCACATGAAGTGCTGTGAGATCAAGGTAATAGTGCAGTATTGTCCTGCATAAGTGGTAGCAAATGTCGTAGAAGTCTCTTTGCATGCACCTGAGCTTTGGGCAGTGCAGATTTGGATATGTTACAATGAGGTGTAGAAGCGGGGTATCATGTGGAGACTCTGACTTTGCACAAAAAGTGCAAAAGCTAGCGAGTGAAGCTGGGGTCATTTCTGCTGGGAGTTGTGGACTGTTGCAGGGGCTGTGCTGTGCAGAGCCGTGGTCGGTGTTAGCAGGGTGACCACTGAGATAGGCCACTGAAAGGCAGAAGGGCTGAAATTTTGCAGCATTTCAGTCTCAACGGCCCCTAGACGCAATGAAACAGGGGATGCCTCTTTCCCATCAGTGGGGTAAAATCCCCCCAACACAGACAATTCCCCAAACAGCCTTTGCAGAAATGAAATGTTTCCCATAGCTTCTCCGTGAACTTGACAATTTACCAGCTTGAACTGTTCTGATCTCGGTCGGTGAGAGATCAGAGAGTGTATTTTCTAGAATCAAACACCTGCGTCATGCTTGCGTACTGCAACACGCAGGATTTCACTGACTGCTTCCCGGCTACCACAGATTGGCTTCTGGGCCACCGATTTTATGACTCATGGTATAACACAAGCTCCAGACCAGTGCATGTTGGTGGTATAGTGGTAAACATAAGTGCCTTCCAAGCAGTTGACCTGGGTTCGATTCCAGGCCAACTCATCAACAACAGAAGGTCCAGACCAGAGCCACAGAAACACACTGGGGCAGAACCCAGAATGGTTCCTGTACTGTGAAGGGGACTTGAGAGCATGTGACTCCCCCTCTAGATGGGACACCAGCACATCACAGGAATGACTTGGTTCTGCCCCCTGTGATTACAGGGTTATCTACTGAGCCTGAAGCATCTCCTTTATCTGTTCCATCATGGTCTCTCGCATGTGTGACAACATGCGCCATTGATATTGATATGAGCTTTCCATTTGGCATCTGGTCTTGGTGAATTCATTGGGCAATTTTGACATTCACTATCGCTGTTGGTGATCGGTGACATGGGAAAGATTTTTATTTAATATCTGCTTATGCTGTGCTTCTATTCTCTGACCTGATGCTATGCCCCAGGGTGGAATTCGTTTTCTGCTATAGTGAGGCTTCAAAATCAGGCGCAAAATCAGCATATCATTCCCATCCTGAAAGCCATTTCCTTACAGTCATATTGCCATTATTTGTATTAAATGGGGATGGTGATTTTTTTTACAAAATGCTCTAGGTGAGAGGAGTGAAGATACTGCAGTTTGAACAGGTGCACCTTTCGGATGTGAGTTAAGTAGGAAAAGACACTCCACATGTGCTCATTAAGGGGAGGATGTGAAGTCTGAACTGAGACTCAGGGATTCCCAGATCACCTATTTATAGATGGAGCATCTCCATGGCAGTCCGTACAGCATCCACAATCCTTAACTATAGCCCAAGACACCAATTAGGAATGAAACAAATGCTTTGTAATGAGTGGGGTTTTTTTTTACATCTTACGGCCGTACATCCGTTTTGAGATGATTCATGTTCATGACTTTTGGGAGTCTGAAACACCACTAAGATAAAGAACACCAGGCGACACAGTAGTGCTTGTTCTGTGGCTTAGGCTATTTTTAACACCTCCTGCCTGAAATGAAAGCTTAGAGTCCACAGCAACATGCATATGCAAGATATAGCAAGATGTGTGTCAGTATGGTTTCTACTCCTGGACTTGCATGAATATTAAGGGCTTGGAGAGGTAAGAAATGTTCTTATCTGTTTGCGGTGTGCAATGATTTGGGGGGTTTATGTCAGTTCTAACTAGGATTGGAGTTCTGATTGCTTCATTGATTTCTTGTTTAAGAGCTGCTATTCAAGTAGTGAAGACCTGAAAATGTCTCGTGTACCATCCAGTATGCTTGGTGTGCACTGTACCGAACAGTATAGAGGCAAACTGTTTTTTTAGTCTAAAAAGCATCTTTCAGTCTGAAAGTCTTCCTTGAAGCTTAAGGGTATTTTCTGTGGGATGTGATCTATTTAAAACCAAAATCAGACATCAGGAGAATCAGATCCATTGTGATCAATGCTTTTGCACTGTTGTCTGATAAAAACTCATCTTATATTTAAGAACTGCCAGCAGAGTCAGAAAAAAATCGTAGAGATTGAAGTTCTTGAAAGGGAGATCGTCAGGCGTTGAGCTTGTTAGCCGGCAATGATACGGGTTTTTTTTTCTTTACCTAGGGTGCGTTCAATATTTTTGACTATCTGTTTAAATCTTTCAACAGATATACAGTGTCCCTGTACATTTCAGCATTTTGCAGTTGAAATGCTCAGCATTGAAAAGAGAGGAGTGGGCTTTGAAGTTATTACTTTACCTTTTTTCGGTTGGGTTTTGCCTGAACAGAGGGGAAATGAACAGACAGTGGCAGAAAGAAACTGCAGGTCTTGTTCTTGCACACGAATGATAAGCTCCTGGGTCAAAACTACAAACCGTCCTTTGGATACAGTGAGTCACTCTTGAGTTCTTAGCCCACCTTGTTCTGAGTATCAGGAAACCGTAGTTGTGTGTTGCCATCTGCAGCATGGGCTTCAAAAAAAGCAAAGGGAATGGAGCTCTGGCAGGGACAGGACCTCATCATCACTCACAGAAGATCCTTTGAAAAGTGCAGGCTCTTCTGCTCTTCTGTAGTTTCACTTTAAAACAGTCTACAGGACCCATAATAATAATAATAATAATAATAATAATTGCTTACACTTATATAGTGCTTTTCGGGTAATGGGAACTCCCCTCCAACACCACCAATGTG